TAGGAGTAGGGTGGGTTGTCCTCCTCCACCCAGTTGCCCGGCAAAGGGCTGTCCAGGTTGAAGATGTGATGCTCTGGTTTGGATTCATCATCCACACTGTCGAAGCCATCCACCTGCGGGAGAGACAACCCCAGATGGTCACCCCTCCACCAGGAGATCTACCCCAGCCCTCAAGCTGGGGGTTGCGGGTGTCACCGATGTCCCCCGTCCCTCCCCGGGAGCAGGACGTGGTGCTCACGTGCTCCAGGAAGAGGTGCAGCTCCGGGTGTTGGGCAGGGTGGACGGTGGCCTCGTAGAGGGGCAGGAAGATATTCTCCAGCATCTCCTGGAAGTTGGCCAACTGCTTCTTCGTCCGGTAGACATCACTGCAGAGGGACGGACCCCGCTCAGAGCCAGCTGTCCCATCTCACCCCACCCCAGCCATCAGTGGGGTGTCCTTGGTGTCCCCACCCAGGACATGGTCCCGCATGAGGGCATCTGCCCCCACGTCACTCACAAGAGCCGGGGCACCTGCACGAGCCAGCGGACGTTGTTGGAGTGGACGCGGTGGTTGCCGGCCCAGCGGGCCAGCTTGTCCCACTCGTCCCGGGAGCGGCCGTAGATGGAGAGCCGCAGCTCGGCGTTTTGGTACTTGCTCTCCTCCAGGTCGGACATCACCTCCTGCCGGGGAGGGGGAATTGTCACCCCTCGGCCACTGGGAAGGGGGACATGGGTGGCATTGCCACCATGGGCATCAGAGGGAGGGAGATGTGGAGGGTCACCCATCAGGGCTGCTCACCTTGATGATGTGGGCAAAGTACTTCCCTGAGACGCGGTTGTCCGTCTTGATGAAGATCTCCCGCAGGATGGACTCGCCGATGGGGTTGTACTTGGCGTTGAACTTGTCGAAGCGATGGAAGGTGTTGCGGTCCTGGCAGGGGGACGCAGATGTGAGCTGAGACCCCTTGTCACCCCAGAGCCACCACAACGTCCCTATCCAGAGCCCCCGGCACCCCCCATCTCACCCTGGGACAACCCCCGGTGGAGATCCCCCACCCCAGCTAGAGACGAGCTGGGGGCCTTGCTCATCTCCAGGATTTGGGGGTGTCCCCCGTACCGCGTGGACATCCAGCGTGTCGACGCTCAGGTCGTAGGCGGTGAGGTTCATCGTCTCGAAGACCTCCTTGAGCGTCTGCTCCTTGCCCTTCTCCACGTGGACAATTTCATCCAGGTGCTTCTTCATGGCCCGCTTGATGAAGCGCAGGAGATGCTTCTGGTTCATGCAGGACGAGGCGTGGATATGGGTGTCCACCTGCACGGCCGGAGGTGATGCTCAGCCCTGAGAGCCTCCAAGTGCTCCCCGGTCAAACCAGGACCCCCCCACCACGAGTTGGCGGGTACCTTGCGGATGTTGTAGAAGTCACGGTGGGGAACCTTCTTCTGGGCCGCCAGCTCCTTCATCTCGTTGAGCAGCACATGCATCTGGAACTTGGAGCTCAGGTACTGCAGCCGGCGGTAGCAGAAGGATTTGCTGCCCGAGACGAGGAGGGGGCATCAGTTTAGGGGAGAGGAGGGAGAACATCCAGCCCCATAAGGCTGGAGCCCACCAGGACGAGGGGACGCGGCTCTGGACTCTTGGACCTTCCATCCCCGTGCACGGTGACCATGAGCAAGGACGGACACACGGACATGGGAGCTGCACCAGTACCATGTGTCATAGCCACCACCATGTCCTCTGGTGCTGTCCCCAAGGTTCTGTCCCCCTCCCCAAGACACTCCCATGGTGGGAATCCCCCAAGACACCCCCATGGCGGGAACCCCCCAAGACACCCCCATTTTTCTCCTTACATGGGCCCGTTGATGATCAAAGCCATGAGGAAATTCATGTCGGCAATGAACTCCTGCAGGTCGGGGTACGGCAGGTCCAGCTCCGTGGTCCTGGGGGGGGGACAGAGGTGGGTCACACGCGGGGACAAGG